TTCTTACAAATCAGAATTTGAAAATGTGTAAATCTATAATGTAGCTAGATATTAAGATTATTAAAATAACATGGTTCATGTTATTAATTTTAAATATTGTAGAGATTGAATCTTGAAGTAATGAACAATCATAAACAGGTTGACTATGATATGTCAAATTAGTTGCATAATAAGATTGACTACTGTGACATCCTAAATTGAGTCCCCAAATTTTTTCCCGGTAGGAACTCAAATTGGTACCTTGACCACCTCAGGACTTTTTCATAGATTTACTATGATATAAGTTTGATAATTTAAACAAATATTGATAAAAAAAAAAAATACTCATAATGACATTTTCAAGCTTGTAACGTCTACTGAAAGTAGTAACACAATTTTTTTAAATCCTAAAGAAAATACTAATTATTGAGATCCAAAACGGGATGTCGTTGAAATTATCTAATTGTGAGAAACATATTAAATGGGCTCTTAACTTGTTTTTTTTTGTTTTTTTGAGTCTTGTGGTAAAAATAAGGAACTCTGTAAAAAAAAACCCTAGGCAAGTCAATCTGTTAGAGTACCCACATAGGTAATTTATTAAGACTATTTAACTAAGCTTTTTTTTTATCTTGATAATAATTCATTGACATATTTAAATATATTTCATATATGTTTAATTAAGACACATGAAAAAAAAAATGCAATGCATACCAATATTGTTAATGATGGTCAACTTTCGTTTTTGTTTTGAAGTTTGAGAATCTGTATTATTATCAATGTTTTGAGGTGACTGTTTTTCAGGTGTAAGATCTGATGACGAGTTGTCTGATTGATTTTGAGGTCGGTAAGGAGCAATAGGTTTGATATTATTGCTTTTCTTCTAAAAAGTAAATGAACATCAGTAACTACGTAATGAATAGAAAACGGACTTTATTGTAATAGAAGTCAAACTATGTACTTATTTTTATCAAAATATGTAAAAAAAAATTTTAAATCTTGTTCTTCTTCAACAATGCATAAGCCATCTAACAAGGGCACATTTTAGATTTCCAGTTGTATACACAGTTGTATATGATATATACCAACATTTATTTAAAAAAACGACACAAATTCGATGTAAGGTGACAAACAAACAACAGTTACAACACAAAATCCACCTGAACTAGAGTCTAGTCATAATATTAAACAGAAGCGTTACCTAGATAGGTACTTATGGATAGCTTATATTATAGAGGCATGCCAGTAAACAAGTATGTAAATGCCATCTTAATAATGTAGAGTATTTGATCATTGTCAACAATTACTAATCTTTTAGCCTTTAATTAAATATTAAACTTATGAACAGCATATTAAATACATAAGAAATGTGGATACTGTTTAGATAAAGCAGATAATGTTTGCCACCATCAAAAATCCATAAAAAATCAAAAATTGTTAAAAATTGTAAAAATATGAAAAATAAATTTTTGTTTACTTCAATTAGAATGATCTAATATTTTTTTATCAGGTTAAAAATATCTCAATCTAATAAAAAAATGTACTTACAATAAAATCCGTTCCCTAGTAATGAATACTTAAGACAATTATTTTCAACTACTTAAAGAATATATAATTTTTAAATAAATGTGTATAATACAAATAATAAATACTAACCAACTTAGAATAATGATGTTTACAATAACCAACATATTTAACATTATCATAATAATTTCCAGCTTCTTCACACAGTAACCCAGCACTTTGAGCACATGTTACATGAAATCCTAATTTGCACCCAGATTTGTTACATGACATACATGCACCAGATACTGTTACTTTTAGTCCTTTATTTTTTTCTTCGCATATGTAACACAACTGAAAATAAAATACAATATAAATTAATTACCAAAAATAGCAAACGCAATATTATAAATATTTATAAAAATTATATGCTGATATGTAGTTATATATGTTTAACCTTTCAACATTACAGCTTGAAAATATTATAATATTTACTTGTGGTTTTAAAACAAAATTCAAACATGCTAATTATTATAATATTACGTGTAGTGAGCACAATGTTCCAAATTAATATACAAGGGCTTGAAACAGAAGATAAAGAATGTTAAAAACATAATAAAAACTAATAAAAAAACTATTAAATAAGCTAAAGAAATAAGATAAATAAGAATCTTAAGCTATGGGCCATGCAAAAACTGTCTACAGCAATAATCTAATAAAGCTTTTAAGCATTTATATTTACTATTTATATCTTCTATCATTTTTATTTTTTACTATAAAGCATTTACTAATCACTAATTTACTTAAATTAGTTATTTTAGTTTGTTAGTTTCATTAATAGTAAATCTATAGTTAAAAAATGAATAATATTATTTTCATTAACTTCAAAATCATATTATGAACAAATACATTTTAAGACAATGCAGTATATAATTTATTAAATATTGAGGATTTTGAATCAAATTTTTTACTTTTATCTAATTTTAATAAATATTGTTTTACTTGTTACCTATATAAACTATAAATGTCATGTTTGTTGCGATTTTTCATTTTTATTTACTTAATCTAATATGGTATTTTAATACATTTTTAACTTACAAAACTGAACGTTTTGATGTTGAATTGTCATTGAGTATACAAAGATATCTTAAACCTGAACCAAACGAGCAACATGAAAATAGATATATATTATTTTTTTATCAGACACAGTAACTTGTGACTTTTAAATGTTAATAAGTTACCTAGAATTAATTTTATTTTGTTGTCATTTTTGATTCTGATAAAATCAAAACTTTTTAAATTTTGGTATTTTAATATTCATATCTAATATGAAGCTCTAACAACAAAGTATACATCATAATTTATTGTTGATGTTTAATTTGGAATTTAAAAAGTATATTTACTAGGTATATAATGTATTATGAAATTAAAAAAGGGGAAGTTTATAAATATAGACATATACACCATTATTGAATAAAAATTAATACAATTTAATGAATATACAAGATCAAAATGTTTTAATGATTTTTCCCACATATTAAATAAATTTAGTTTATTAAAATTTTGATTGCTGATAAAAAAAAAAAACAAGACATTACTATTAACATGCAGAAATATTCTAATCGTATTAATAATTAAATATAAATATCCATCATAATTTAATTATCAATTATCATCTAATAACATAAAATTACAAATACATCAAAAAAATTATTTTTGAATATATTCAATAGATGGAACTAATTAAAGATAAATTCAAGCCCTATTTTAAGACCAAAATAATTGATAATGTGGAAAATTAATATTATTTACTCTGTTAAATCGGTCTCGGGGTATTGCACTCAATTTTACTGGTTCCATAGTAGTAACATCCATAAATGTAACTTCTGGTATATACAACGCACATACAACATGAGCCCAGTTCCCATTTTCAGTAGGTTTTAGAGCACCATCTTTAGATGGACACAGTTCACATTTCTGAAATTAATGCCATAGTTTTCTTACATTCTAATAGGAGAGTTTAAAAATGAGTCTAATTTTTTCAACGAACCACTTTAATAGATTTTTCTTTAAACGCTTCACATTTCCTGCAAAACCATTCTCCTTTTGGTACAATCCGAATTCCATAACAAGCTGTTATAAGATTTTAACAAATTAAACAATATCTATGTTATTTGAAAATGTCATACAAAAAGACATTAAGGGTATCAAAAAATAATTAAATTTTTAATAATGTGACAACTACTGTGCTAATGACAGCAAACTTACCTTGATGTACAGCAACGTTACAATTAGGCCCATCACAATACACCAAGGGGTTTTCAGTCCATCCCGTATCATCACAACAAACGCTGCATCCACCAAGCATTTCTTTCATATTGAATATTTACTACAGTTTTAAGTATTACAAAATATATTTTAATAAATACACATCTGATATAATTGGGTAATATCGAATAAAACTTGACACAAACCTCAAGACACTAGTTTTGGTGGAAAATAATAATAATAATGTGATCGTGATAGAGCTCTAAGTTTAATCAGGATTCATTTCAATCAAATACTCACTAAATCATACACAAAAAATAAAAACAAAATAATAAAAATAGTAATGAGTAATAATAATGTAAAGATAAAAAACACAATTTAATAATAAAATTATTGTAGGTAAGTACTGCTAATAAAACACAAAAAAAAACAAAATCATTCGTCTGCACACAATATATCAAACCCCTAATATGACACAGTCTACATAACATAGCTCGACCATAATATATTTTTACCATTTAAGACTCATACTTTACAACAATGAAATGGACTAGCAATGTATAGAATTTGTTTGGAACTAATGACAAACAGCAACAAAACATTCCCTATTACACTCATACAACACAAATAGAAAAAAATAAAAGAAAAAGGCCAAACTGAATTTATATTTCAACAGCATGTAACAATCTCAGCACTCGGGCATTGGCATTCACAGGCAGGTCAGTAGAATAGGTAATAGATATTGTGTAGATTTATAACAATTCAACCACACTATAGCGAAATATTTGAAATGCTCCATTGCCACAAGCCTAATATTACCGATAAATTATAAATATAAATACAAACAAATACATACTTATTACTTTTTCTTATGCCTATCACTTAGCGTAAAATTTCGTTATTACAAATTAGATACAACTATAACATTACAATACATGTCAAACATGAATAGTATATACACCTTACATTATTTATATTATTATATTTACTAAACAAAAATAAATTTCGGTTTACAACAACTGCGGAGATATAAAATCAATGATAACGCCAAAACGAAAAAAAAAAAAAAAACCAACACGGCAGAGATTTTCGACTGGTGGAACGTAACGTCGGTTTCGTAACGTTTGGTCGAGAAGTTCCGGTACGCATAATTGATGAACACGTAACCACTAACCACGGTCCACTCGGCTAGCGTAACAAAATTGAAAATAGCGAGTCCTCGATTGTGCGTATTTGGATTGAGATAACATCACTAATTTTGATAACAACTAGAAAATCAGTTCTCAATGACTCAATGTTTGAATACGAAACTGGTCTGTAGAATCCGAGGTTGAATCGTAGAATATGTGTAAAATATGGGATGTACTGAAAAATGTATCGATGAAATCAATTTGTGGGTCCGTTAAGACATCCGGAGGTAGCCAGGGATGCCCGAGTAATTTTTTTTGAGCAACTCGTAACTACGACAACTAATTTATGTGGCAACTTAACTCCAACACAATTTTTAAAAATTATGACCTAAACAACTTAATGAAGCTTCCTAAAATAAATCAACAGCTGCTGAATACAGTATCTATTTACCAACATTTCCGTCACACCCTAAGGATCTCGGACAAAAATCAATGTTTTTCGTAAGTAACCAATACAAATTCCTATAAGATGACAATTTATTAGAAGTATTTGTTTTCAAACTGTCCATATTCAAGTTAATTAAACAATTATTTTTAACATGTTTTATTCAAATCAACTAAATTACAGAACTTTTTAAGTTTTTGACTTTTTTTAAATAACTAACTAGGTACGTGCTGAAAATACAAAATTTTGTAATGCATTCTTTTCATATCTTTATAATATTTAAAATGTATTTAATTTTTTTATCATCTGTAGTTTAACTTACAAATCATGAAATGAAAATAATTATTTTTCCAAAATTAATGTAATACTTACTAAAATAATAAATTTAAATCCGAGAAAATACACTGTGATAACAGTCAGACACAATCAAAAATAATAATCAACAATTTATTAGTTGCCCCTGCCCTTCTCACTAGAGTGTTTTTTTTAATTTGCTATCCACAACACAAGATATCAAACTTCTTTTTATGTTCTATCTCCCTCAACTTCCTATAGCCACAATCATACATCACATAAAATGCTTAGATTGGCGAATCTGAAATGATCTTTGTCCACACCTCAAATGCTTACCTGGAAATATGTTACTTCTCATAAATTATTTAATTGTGTCTGTTTATTACCAAACTCTTGTTAGCTGTTACTACAGTATTTACATTTGTAAAAATTACTAATTTATTTTATACCTAACTATTATATTTATTAGTGTTACACTATTTCTGTATTAAGCTTATCATACTTCTTGGTCATTGCATTAACATTCTATTATATAAATAAATAATTTACATTTCAGTATCACCTTTTTTAAACATATTTATTTTTATTTTTACAGTTATTTGAAATTCCCTTCAACCTTGCTACCGAGTTATTGATTATAGTTAATAGATTTGTATAGACCACAGGCGTATTAATTTGTCCATGGTATAGACATTTTTTCAAAAATTATGTTTCTTATTAAGTTCTAATTAATAAGAGGCTTTTATAAAAAAACTTGTGCTTAAATTGCATAATCTTAGATCTTAAAATTTTTTACTTGATCAATTTTTATCCTTACATAATATTTTTTTTGTACATCTTTCATTCTTCATTTTTGTTAAGAGTTGTACTTTTGTACTATCAACTTAAAAGATAAGTAACAAATATTTCACATAACAAAAAAAATTGTATGATAATAAATGTATTTAAGACTTACTATATTATAGTATGTATATACTTGTAATATATAAATAATTTACTTTATAATTTATAATTCATAATTTATACTCTAATAAACGTATGGGATGAATATGTTAGGTGAAGACATATTTTGGTGTATAAAAATAAACGTAATTAAATATACTATTTTAAATATTATTAAGCAATCGACATTTCTAAACGAATACATCATCGTATAACCGTGAAAACAACAGGAAGTCATTAAAATTCCCAGATAGACGCTCATTAAAAAACAAGCCCATATTTGGGCATAAATGAAATTAATCAATGATGAAATATCGAGCAACAACAACACATTATGACTCACTCAAAGGCCTATCAAATCATATCAATTGCCGCTTCTGGTAAACACCTTCGGTCTTCACATAAACAAAATTAATCAATAATAAGATATCGAACAACAACACGTAATCAACATTCCACATGCTCACTCAAAGGCCCATCAAATCATATCAAGTACCTCTTCAATTTAATATTAATTTCTGCATAAGCTGAAATAGGTACACAACACAATCCCAAGCAAAAATACAATATCACCTCAAACTATAAAATGCCAAATAGCTAAATGTTGTACAATGAACAATTATACGGCCGATAAGCTATACCACATATAACTTCATCAAAAGGCAACTTACAAGAATCAATGCACATTACAATATACACAAAATATACAATGACGGACATTTAATTCTACTTCAATAAAAGTACCTACGACCAGAACACATAATAATACAACACTCGTTTATAATATCATCACTAAAAATGTCACGTAAAAGAAGAAAAGTGACAACACCACGGGAGTACATGTTCTAGCAAAACGTACCCTTGCAAATAATGTGACAAATGCAAAAACCAACATCCAAGAACAAAGGCATTCGAATGCATGGTTCACGTGGCGAACGCAACCAGTCAATGGTAACGTGGCACGACAACAATTAAGTGGGAAAAAACAATCGACCTCCTATATATACACAACGCGCAAACAACAAGAACGGCTCATTCTTGCTCTACTCTTTATGCTCGTCGGATCCAGCCGCAGCAATATACGATGCACTGTGTCGGCGCAGTGCATCATCACAATCAACAGGGCACATCACGTCCACACAACTCGTCTCAAGAAAAACGCGAATTTCATTTTAATTTGATCTTTCTTCTCTTACAAAGTTAATTAAATTATTGCGTTTATTCTAACACCAGGTATGAATGAATATTAGCATATTCTGCCACAAAAAAAATCTGTTATTTAAATTTATTGCACTGCCTTAGAAATCTCATTCCTTAATCCTAATCTATTCATTACATTAAGGTTTTCTAAGTGTTATTAAAATTAACAACAAGGTTGTATTCCACCACAAAGGCTAAGAGTAAACGCACTGTATTTAGAAAAAGGGACGTAGTATTGTATAAGTCGTAAAGTAATAGTAACGAGCATCGATCCACACCCACCAGAGACGTTACCACCACAACAAGGATCTACATTATCCACATCAATACAAGGTAATTGGATTTGTTATTTCACATTAAAAGACCAGTTAGTAAATTAGGAAGTAAATCTAATAATAATATTAAGTAGTAGTATAATTATTATCAGAATTGTAATCTATAGGCTATTGAACCGGATACACATTGTCTGTTTCGTATACTCTCTCATTCCTCACTCCCCACTTGCCCCGCCTTTTTTAATTTTGATAATTTTTATTCTACTACATACTATTATACTTCACAAATTACAAAATGTATGTGGTGTTCAATTTTTGTTTACCTACTTGTCTTTTGTGTTAAACACATTTTCTAATTTCTACATTTTAATTCCTTTTTTTTGTTAGTAGGTTATTGTGATTGGCCAAGCAGACATTTTTATTTACTTTCAAAATGCCAAGTTGTTTTGTGTGTGGCCGAACAAACAATTCCAATTCCAAAAATCTTGGAATAAGTTTCCATCAGTAAGTATAACAATGATTAGTTATAATAAAATAATAAATTCTTAAGATCATGTCAACTCACTGTTTTCTTTTATTTCAGTGACCTACACACAACATATAGACAAAATGCAAAACTTTTTTTTATATTTTTGAGTAATCTCAGAGTAAAAACACCCATTTCGAAAACAATTGAGAATAATATTGTTGACCAACAATTTGTCTAAAGATTGTCTTAAAACAATTTAAACATCATTTAAATCAACCAATTTTTTTTTCTAACTTTTAATACAAAGTCAAATAATAAAATATAAAACCGATATGTTATGATCTCAGAAATATTATCCTCTATAATTTTTGTAAAAGGTAATTTTACTCCTAAGATTACTTAAAAATAAAAAAAAAAACGATTTTAGGAGAAATCATTTTATTTTTATCTACCTATGTTGCGCTGTTGTGGGTCTGAGAAAAGAAACAAATATTGGACTGACATTCTCTTAATTATACTTGGAAGTTAATATAATTTATATTTTTATGAAATCAATATATACGTTTTTATTATTTAAGAATTCCAAAGAATGATCCAAATTGGTTCCCATGGTTGGATTTTATTCCAAAATGTGGTGTTGACCATTTGAAAATTAAACCTAAGAGCATTATTTGCTCAGAACATTTTTCCAAAGATTGCTTTAAAAATTATAATCGCACAAAATTAATAAACGAGGCAGCTGTTCCATTCATTATAATTAAACGTTTAAAATGAGTATGTTAAAATAATTAATTAAAATTTTATTTTATTTAGTATTCTATTTCATTTTTATTTTGTTATAAACTTTTATTATTTTTAACTAGGCAAAAGTTGCAATTCCTGAGGTGATATACTTGTAGCCAGTAATTCAAATCCTTCTTTGGTTAAATCAACTATTGTAAGTATAACAGTGTATAGAAAGAGATTTAAGCCATTTACTTGTATAATATAATATTTTTATTTTTAAGTATTTGAAAGATTGAAAATGATGGTATTCAAATGGAATATGTGGAATCTTTTGATTCAGTTAGTGTTGAGGAACCATCAAACTTCTCAAATCTAATTTTTACTGACTGGAACCAATTCTATTGTGCACCGTCAACATCATTTCTAAAGAAGCCTCATACTCAGAATGTACAATAACACACATAAACTTAATATAAAAATAAAGTAGTTATTCTTATAGATTATAATGAAATTATTTGTTTGTTGAAGGTAAAATCAAGGTTTTTAAATTCTGAAGTTGCTAAGGAAATCAATAATGATTCTCAAAGAAAAAATATTCAAAATTTTACATATCATCTTTAATGTGTGAAAATTTTGATCAGAGAAAAAAATTAAAGATCTAAATCAACGATTAAGACATAACAAAAAACAAATTTCTTCTTTAAAAAGTATGTAGATATTTAACAATAAATAAACTGTACATCAGAATTGTATTTCATTTACATTTTTACATTTATTTTCACAGTGTGCACATAAATAGTTAGGGCGATGAGTATGAAATGTTCACTTTGACATTTTTCAAACTTGAAACTTTTACCTTTCTTGAAATATTGAAATTGATATTTTTTTAATTTTGTGTTTTTGGTATGTTTAATACAATCATCATTAAATGGTCAATATTATTTAATTTTCCGATCACGATGTTGAGAAGATACTATATTATATAAGAAAGACAATTATTATGTAATTTTTATAATGTATGATGTAAATAATATTTCTATAACATTTTCAGCTTAATTGTATACAAAAAATAAATTTCAAAACTCTATTAATAATTAATAAAAAAATTTTTAGGTGTGTTCAAGTTTTTAAAAATAAATAACTTAGTACAAAGACCAAAGCAGACACCATAGACAACAATTTATGGGTTCCACCTGGAAGATGTTTGTCCATTTTCTAAAGAAGTTTCTTTATGTATAACTAGTTTTGTATTCCATAAATTATGAATAAAAAATAAAATGTGATATTTTTAATGGTGTTATTTGGTAACAAAAGTAATTTTTTTATTCTATCTCAAATATAGTAACAGTTAAAATGGTATTTAATTCAATGCAGTAAAAACACCTTTAAAAAACTGAAATATGAATTCAAAATATAAAATCTACACAAATCCAGCAACCTGTATTAAGAAAAAAACTATATTTTTATTTATTTTTAACAATTAATTACAAAAATTAAAAAATATATCATAAACTATTCAAAAGTTTTTGATAAATGGGATTTGGAAAAATGTTTAAAAAGTAACAGAAAATGAAAAATTGAAATATAAAAACTAAAAAGTACCTAAAAAAAATTCATAAAATTCAAAAAAAAAATCCTAAATCGAGTTTTTATGTACCTAGTTAAACTTTGAGTTCAGAAGGTTATTATTTGTAATAAGGTAAAAAGAACGCGTTTGTCTACAAATTCACATATACCTTAAAATTGATTTAAATTTTAAATTCATTTTGTTTTATTAATAGAGATATCAAATATAATGTATACAAGGAGGAGTGTCAATATCTGTGGAGTGTGATAGTCAAAGCCCCTTAAAAAACTTTGCTTCCTCTAAAAGTTTTGGGTGCTTAAACCCCCCTTGAGGTGGTTAAAATCTATCTCCTCTAAACTTTGACCAATGGGTAGAATGTTTACAGCCTCGCTAGTCTGTTAGTAATTTGATCATAATTAGGCTATGGCTAATCATTCATCCATTATCCTTAAGTATATAAAGTATTAATATTTGAAAATGCTCATAATTCTCTCAAAAATTAAAATATCATAAAAACCCAACTAGAGAACACAGATTATATTCTTACCTTAAAGTTTAATTATAGGTTTACTCTAATAGTCTAATATCAAAACTAAAAGCTCACTATTGAAACTAGTGAACAAAATTTTGGTATGCTGTATGTGTGTAAGACGAAGATAACACATACCGGTATGAAGTCCTCTTAAGTGTTATTGAATTTTGAAGAATACTTTAACATACTGTACATACGTATGTTACCTACTGTGTTACAGTAAATGGCAATAATGATTTTAATATTGGATCACTCTGCATAAAAATACTAGTCAAAAACGCCACGGCCTTTGTGCAATTGTGTAATTAGATCTCCAAATAGACATCACATTTTGATATCCATTTGTCATTACATGGATTAAACTTAAATTACCTACTTCCATAAATTGGACCATTCTAATTAATTATTTAAGATTGTAACATTAATTAATATGCAATGTTTCGTCAAGTGTATCAAATTAAATACACAATAGTCAATACAACATATTTTATTTGTAGCAGTATTTTTAGGTGACAACACATATTGCTCTCATGGTCATCTCAATGTGACTTAGAGTTAATAATAATTATATTATTTCCAAAAATAGAACTAAACCATAAAATGTACATAATTTATGTATAATCGAACAAAAGTTATACACGATACCTATTCACTACCTATTTATATACCTACATACTAATATTATTATAATATTTAATAAAAATACAGCATTAAAATATATCCATACTTAAAAAAGATACCTAAGCTTACCATATTTTTATAGGAGTTATATTTTATTATTCTGTCAGACCTAATAACTATTACCTCCTTAATATATATTTTAAATCATTATCATCAATTTACATTACCTACGTACTATGTAGGTATCTACCTAACATACTTTCCCATATAGTTTATTGTAAAATAATTTGCATTACTTTGCTATAATATTAAACAGTATTTAAATGTTGTTATAAAAACATATTTTATAAAAAGTAATATAGTATATGAAATTGTGAAGGTATCTTTTTGTACTTAGATTCTGAGCATTGCAAAGAATTCTAGAATGTACGGATTTGTTCTAGAAAGATATTTTTTTTATGTATATTACCTATATTATTGTTTAATGGGTTGTTAAATATTTTCAAGACAAACATAAATACAATGTCATTCTGTCTGAATTTTTGGTCACTACAATTTTAGGGTTTCGTTTTAACTTATAAATGACCATCACATAGAGTTGATAATGAGGGGTGATAAAATTTTAGAAAAGTGGAAGCCATATTAAGTAAGAATAAGAGAATAATAGAAGAAGTTTTAAATTATTTTACAAAAGTAAAAATTGTACTTGATAATATTGATGGGCACATAAGCTTATAAGCTTTATATAAATATTGCTATACATTCTAAGGATTCACAAGAAACCGCTGATGCTAAAAAATATGAGAATTTGGGGCGAGGATAAAGGTTGAAGATTCATACTAAAAAAAATATTCATAAAAAAGTGGATATCGCTCTGCCGTACAATAGGTTGCAAGTGGGTCATTGTAATGAAGGGTGTTAAATTTAAATTCAATGATGTAAAATCTTTGTATATAAAAAATGATTCTCAGTGGAGACGGTTTGTCAGTCTTTGATATTTTATCATAAATTATTATTAATGTGGTAGCCAATAAGTTAAAATTTGAATTAATATTATCCTAAAATTATCAGAGATACCGGAAAAATTGAGCTGTTTTGGAACCAGTACACATGGCACCGCTGGGAACGGCAAATTAAGTTATTTAAATGATTAACTTGTAACAGTTACAAGTTAATTAAAAAATAAAAGTGACTTAACTTAGTTATAAACATGTTACTTTTTTTAAATATAAAATTAATAGTTATACCTACCAACCTTTTATAAAGCTAGCAAATAACATAATAATTCAGTAAACGTCTCACAATTTTTAAATAAATGAGTATAATAAAATAAGTTACTGTTACTTAATATTTGTATATTAGGTATACTTTAATCAATGATAAAATAAAATAAAATAATTAAATTATTTTTATGTATTTGTTAACGTGATGGTCCACAACTATATTAAACATTATAATAATCAAAATCATTATTATTTATTAGAATATATTTAATTGGTTACACAATATTATATAGGTAATATACTAATATCAAATATTATTCAATTAATACTTAATAAATAGTAAGATCACAATAGGTATTTAAAAAAACCATTATTGTATTTTAACCATTTTAGTAGATAGTACCTAGTGAGGTGTATTTGGTATTTTGGTATATCATATTTTGAATATAAAAAGTAAAATAATGTATACAAAAACTAAGCTTTTGAACATAGCTTCACAGAAAGCAGTATGAAAATTAGAATGTGAAAGATAATTTGACACAATATGACACAGCCAAGACTCGAAAGACTATATTTTGTTTATGACTTAATGTCCACTACTCCACTATTAAAATCTATTACGGCTCTCACTTATTGGGTACCTAGCTTATTAAAAATAAAAATGAATCAATGACCCTGATATTTATTTAAATAGGTAAATATGATAAACTATCACGCTATTGCGTAATTAAATTATTTACACCGACGGGCCAATTTATTGCTGTAATTCTATGAATAAATAAAAATATTAGAATAAGTAATAATATAATAAAGACCAAATAATGATTAGGTATGTAGGTGATGATTAACGAGTCCACAAACATTACAAACGTGTATGGGATACTGAGTAAATTGTTTTATTTTTTTAATATTAATGACGACGTTATCCCTACAGCATTTCTGTCTATAATAGGTAATATAGTTATATAATATTTTCTGTGAATATGCAGTATAATAACAATTATAATAAATTATTAATTATTAATGAATATATTTCGGATTTCGGATTTATTTTTATACAATTTTAATTATTTTAAATCTGCGATTTAGGAAAAAAATTACTTAACGTAAAAATAAAATTAATTAACTCGTACGTTACTCAATAACATGAAAAAAAATGTAACTCATTAATTAAGTAACCTAATTTTTTAACTTAACTTTAACTTAGTAACTTATTAATGTCCAGCCTTGTCATAGTTAATAAGCACACTCCTACGAATTCTTTCGATTTAAACCTTTTTAAGGAGTGTACGTATTATTCAATTTTAAATGACAAAAATTGACATTATTCGTGTTATTCACCTATGTGATTTTGTCCAAATTTGAACTTCATTCATTTTTCCGCATTTTCGGGCCTTTTTAAGCTAATAGATTTAGGTTACATTATAATATAATCAAATTCAATATTCAACTTCAGAAAGTATAATTAAGAGATTATGCTTTATATAATTGCGTACCCAATCTATTGCAATACTATATAATATTATAATTAATCTAAAATATACTTATTGATTTTCATTAACAAATAACAATTATAAGATTTAAAAGAAAATCAATAAAATCTGTATTATTTATTTAAATATGTGCCTTAAATGCACTTATATAATAGTATAATCTTCTCTATATATAAAGGAAAGTGTACTTTAGCAATAATCAACGCAGAGCCGAAACTATTTGAGTTATCTTATTGAAATTTTGAGGATAGATGAATACTAAAATGTCAAGTTCCACTAAGAAAGGATTTTTAAAAATGTTGATTTAAAGGGTTGAATTGGCAAAAATAAATTTTTTACCTGTAGATTGTATATCTACACATATATTTTACATCACGGTGACTTGCAACCATAGGTACATTTTTATCTGTCTATGTGTTTGATCGGCGTGTAGATATGAATTGTACCGAGAAGTAAAATTCTACAATCTATCTTTGTCTATCAGTCTATCTATAAATTATATAAAAATAAATCCCTATTTCCCTTAGTCGATGCATCAAGCTTACCGATTATCAT